TTGATATGATTATTCAATGACTTCTTGCATTATTTTAGGAACAGAGGGTATATTGTAATGCGACACACTACTGCCAAGATGGCAACACATGCTGTAGATCGGTGAGTGGGGAATGGGCATGTTGTCCTCTACCAAATGCGGTTTGTTGTTCAGATCGTATTCATTGTTGCCCGAATGGCTACACCTGTACATCAACATCATGTCAGAAAGAATCCCATGTAACTGAGTTCTTCAAGAAGGAACCCGCGATTCAGGTGGGTAATTGGCTGATTATATTGCAGTTGCATGCCCTTTATATTTATTTGTGTCTTTGTTTACATTTTCCATGTTGGGTCGCCGAACGCATAAACATCGATCTTGAAATAAGCCGTCAAAATAGACAATGATTTAACAAAGTGCCTATATGATACGTTGATCATTTTGAGATTTAATTAATGTCGAAAATAATTTCATTTTAAATTGGCGCATTCCAAGAAATATCTGGCGTTAAAACATCCTGCAGGTTACCTAGAGATAACAAAACAGTTGAAAGATTAGTACTTTTAGCTGTAATACAACAATTAAACAGGATAATTTAGGAAATTTACAGCTTCTTTGAAAAGGAAAGCAGTGCATGTTTTACGCGAGAAATTAAAGCAAGCAAAATTCATAAACATTAATTTAAACATTCAAAGCAAACTTGTGTTGTATTTCCCGATTTCCAACAGAAAATCTTTTATTCTCATTTCCTCGAACAAAAATTGCTTCAAAGCTCATTGCATGAAACAATTTTCCAAATATATGTTTTTGAAAATTGATATTTTGTTTATACCATTCCAGGCAAATAGCCATATTTTTGCAACAAAATTGATAACCGTTAAATTAAGCATACAAAGCAAACTTGGCTGTATTTGACCATTTTCCATCGAAAATCAATTCTTCTCGTTCTCTCAAACAATAATTGCTTGAAAGCTCATTGCATGGAACGATTTTCGCTTATCCCACTCCAGGCAAATAGCCATATTTTTGAGATCAGAGAGGGCCACCCATAAACCATAGATATAGGAAATCTAGATTGCTAACGCATACCTGGCGCAGGCGGGGCCTATATGATAAATCCAAGATGGCGGTACAACAGGGCGAAAAGACTATAAATTCTATTACGAAAATCAGGATTTTTGCATTTTTTGCCGTCGCATTGTTTTGAAACTTATTCGGTCAAATTTTATGGTAAAGAGAAACTTACCGCGAAGATTTTGAGCATATATATGATTGAATTGGATGAAAACTCGCAAAATTATCCATCGATAAAAGTTCGTGTATAGTACTGATATAGTACTATATATGTAACTTGTACAGTGTCGCTTTAATTTTTGCTCACTATTTGCATAAAAAGCAACTTATAACAGACCATAGATGATAGACCTTCATCCAGTGCTCTCACCAGTTTACTTCTCTAACAAGCAAGGAGGGGGGGGGGTACATAACAGTTCATTTTTCATAATTATGAGGACAGAACAGATGATGATGAGAGATGCAAATATAAAACATCATTCACAATGCTAGATGTTAACATAGCACAGTATTTCGGGCAACAAAACGCTCCAAATGACCAACTGACCATTTCACACGAACTTTTATCGCTGGATAATTTAGCGATTTTTCATCCAATTCAATCATATATATGCTCAAAATCTTCGCGGTAAGTTTCTCTTCACCATAAAATTTGACCGAATAAGTTTCGAAACAATGCGACGGCAAAAAATACAAAAATCCTGATTTTCGTAATAGAATCTATAGTCTTTTTGCCCTGTTGTACCGCCATCTTGGATTTATCATGTAGGCCCCGCCTGCGCTAGGTATGCGTTAGCAATCTAGATCTCCTATGTCTATGCCATAAACCATAATTACGCGCCCGCGATTATTGTAAATGAACTTTAGACTTCGCTTTCCTTTTCCCGGGTGTAAATGGCCGGGTGGAATTAGGTTCTTTGCCCCGGGCTAACGCCCGGAACGGCGCTCCGTGTCGTTGGCTCGGGGATTAAAGCACATGCATTTTTCCGACCCATGCTACTAACTTACCGACGGAGGGCTTCGCTCGAAATGTCGAAGTTTTACGTGTATGTTTCAGGTCGTTGAATCCCTATGCATCTCAATTTTCTGATTTATTTAATGGCATTGTTTCCATACGTCTGTATCGTTTGCGCTTGGATTGATGCATTTTGAATGCTTTAGTTAGACATGCTTACGCCTTCGAGAAAGGGTAATATTTAACCGAATCCCCACACTCTGGGTCTACAAATGTTCAATACTATAAATTATTGTTATTCAGCCAAAGCTTCCAAATTGTAATGCAAACTTATAAATCACTAGCAAAAGCTATCTGATGTGATTATTCAATGACGTCTTGCATTATTTCAGGCACAGAGGGTATATTGTAATGCGACACACTATTGCCCAGATGGCAACACATGCTGTAGATCGGTGAGTGGGGAATGGGCATGTTGTCCTCTACCAATTGCGGTTTGTTGTTCAGATCGTATTCATTGTTGCCCGAATGGCTACACCTGTACATCAACATCATGTCAGAAAGGATCCCATGTAACTGAGTTCTTCAAGAAGGAACCCGCGATTCAGGTGGGTAATTGGCTGATTATATTGCAGTTGCATGCCCTTTATATTTATTTGTGTCTTTGTTTACATTTTCCATGTTGGGTCGCCGAACGCATAAACATCGATCTTGAAATAAGCCGTCAAAATAGACAATGATTTAACAAAGTGCCTATATGATACGTTGATCATTTTGAGATTTAATTAATGTCGAAAATAATTTCATTTTAAATTGGCGCATTCCAAGAAATATCTGGCGTTAAAACATCCTGCAGGTTACCTAGAGATAACAAAACAGTTGAAAGATTAGTACTTTTAGCTGTAATACAACAATTAAACAGGATAATTTAGGAAATTTACAGCTTCTTTGAAAAGGAAAGCAGTGCATGTTTTACGCGAGAAATTAAAGTAAGTAAAATTCATAAACATTAATTTAAACATTCAAAGCAAACTTGTGTTGTATTTCACGATTTCCAACAGGAAATCTTTTATTCTCATTTGCTCAAACAAAAATTGCTTCAAAGCTCATTGCATGAAACAATTTTCCAAATATATGTTTTTGAAAATTGAAATTTTGTTTATACCATTCCAGGCAAATAGCCATATTTTTGCAACAAAATTGATAACCGTTAAATTAAGCATACAAAGCAAACTTGGCTGTATTTCACCATTTTTCATCGAAAATCAATTCTTCTCGTTCTCTCAAACAAAAATTGCTTGAAAGCTCATTGCATGGAACGATTTTCGCTTATCCCACTCCAGGCAAATAGCCATATTTTTGAGATCAGAGATGGCCACCCATAAACCGTAATTACGCGCCCGTGATTATTGTCAATGAACATTGTATTTGTATTTTGTATTTAAAAAAGAACCTCTGTTAGCTAACGCTAGTTTACACGAGGTCTTAAAATAGGATTACCCTACAAGATAAAAAGTCTATAAATCTAGTTATTCGTAAAAATTATTAAAATACGTTAAAAGTTCAAATAGTTAATAATAATTATATGAACCAGTCTAGCTGTTTAAGAACAGCAGACTTAAACATGGATTTGGAAGATATGATTTTTATAGTATAGTCTAAATTGTTCCATAGACGGATAGCTCTGGTCCTAAAAGCCCGAGCTAAAAAGGTTTTCTTCTTTAACATAGGTTTCTCTAACAACATATTATCACTTCGACACCTCGACGAAAATCTAGTATTGTGTTCATGAGTAATTTCAAATGGTTTAAAATTCACGTAAATTGCATTTGGTTCACCAGAATAAAGTACATTATGCAATGCCATTAAGGTTCTGACATGAATCCTTTGTCTCACTGTTAACCAACCTATTTCATCATGGAGGCAAGGATTTCAAGGAGGCAAGGATTTCAAGATGGCGGACAGTCGCGCTGAAAGTGCTCTCTCTGGCTTTTTCGCTTTGCTGCTTTTGTCTTTGTTTTTGCAGCAAGTTATACATAGCAGACCATACAAGGATGATCGGAGTCATGTTCTCATGGGTTTGGGATATGATTTCGAGTTTATTGGTGGGCAAAGTGGTGTTTGTTATCATAACTTTGTGTGTATTTGGAGTTGGCGGGTAAAGTCGAAGGTCACAGTTAACGATTGCAACCATCTTTGTGGCTGTTCAATCTCGTATTATCCTAACTCAACAGCAAAATTTCGTCCTGTGCTTTTGTTGAAATACGATATCGAAATCAATCCTGGACCTGGCACACAAAATTCAACGAATATCTTGCAACACAAGCTGAAAGTTCTCTCCCTCAATTCTCGAAGCATAGTAAACAAAGCAAATCATTTAACTGCCCTGGAAAGTGTCAATGAACATGATTTGATTGCTATTGTTGAGACATGGCTTAATCCTACAATTAACGACGCTGAAATATTATCTCCAAGTGACTTCTGTATTCATCGTCGAGATAGGACTGACAGACGGGGTGGTGGTGTTATGTTGGCAGTCCGGAAGCCATTGTATTCGACACGAAGAACTGATCTAGAGACTGATGCTGAAATCCTGGCTTGCGAGGTGAGACCGACTCAAAAGAAAAAAATCTTAGTACTTGTTTTCTATCGCCCGCCTTCAACAAATCATGTCTATATGAATGCGTTCAACAAGTGTTTAAAAAATGCAAGAGTGGCCCGTTTTGCTCAAATTGTTGTACTGGGTGATTTTAATTTGCCAGATATGAATTGGAATACAAATTCAAGTACTAATAATGGAACTGGTCAACTTTATGACAACTTTACTAAAGCTATTCGGGATAATTTCCTATGGCAATTGGTCGACCAACCAACTAGGAAGGAACATATTTTAGATCTTGTTCTCACAAATATACCCCACAAGATAAGTAACTTAGAAATATTCGACGACACCATAAGTACAGACCATAAATTGATTGAGTCTTATTTGGACTTTAATATCCCTAAACGGAATAAGATTAGCAAAAGTGTTTTTAATTTCAAAAAAGCAAAATGGAATGAACTTAAAATTGCGTTAACATCTGCCTCTTGGGATCAAGTGTTTGTTTACGACTGTGTCAATGCTACCTTGTCAAGTTGGACAAAAATGTTTATGGAAATTGTGGAAAAGTATGTTCCTAAAATTGAAATTAGGAACTCAAATAGCACTCCATGGATTGACCAGGATGTAATTCGTCTTCTTCGAAAGAAGGACAAACAAAGGCGTGTCGCAAACAAAAGCTTTGACAACGAGGATGTAAATAAGTATAAGCAATTGCGTAAAGAAGCCAAACAACTTATCGAAGCTAAGTATACTGAATATTTAAACAACATGCGTATGTCTATAAAAGAGAACCCCAAACGATTCTGGTCGTTTGTAAGAGCTAAATCTGCGAAGCCTGGTATACCGGAGTTTGTCAACTTTTCCAACGTGTTTGCTTCGACCCCTGTCGATAAAGCTAATTTGTTTAACGTTTATTTTCAGTCTGTTTTTACAGCGACTGATAATGTATGCAGTAATAATGACTATGCAAATTTAGACTCCCACACATCATTAACAAACATCACGCTATCTGAAAACGAAGTGCTTAACTGCCTACAGAATATTAATGTCTCGAAGGCAAGTGGTCCGGATGGTATACCAGGAAGACTTTTAAAAGCTATTGCAACCGAGATAACACCATCCCTGACTAAAGTTTTTAACTTATCGTTGTGTTCTGGAAAAGTGCCTTCAGCATGGAAAACAGCTCTTATAACTCCAATTCTAAAAGAGGGTAATCCCCATGTAGTGACAAATTATAGACCCATTTCCCTCTTATCGATTTTGTCGAAAGTCTTGGAGAGATGTATATACAATCATTGTTACGAGTTTATACAACATAAACTAACCTTCTATCAACATGGTTTCGTTCAAGGCAGAAATTGTGTTACCCAGCTCGTCCGATTTTATCATAAAATCCTTGAGGCTTTAGATAATGGGCATGAGGTTGATACAATTTACTTAGATTTTTCGAAGGCCTTTGATCGAATCTCACATCGTCCACTTCTTGACAAATTGAAACGTCATGGCTTTGGAGGGACACTTCATGACTGGTTTGCGGACTATATTACTGCAAGATCCCAAAAAGTTGTAATAGACGGTGCCTGCTCAGATCTACTAAGTGTTACATCAGGGGTACCCCAAGGGTCTATTCTGGGGCCTCTATTGTTTGTACTCTATATTAACGATCTTCCGGAGTGCATACATAAGCCAACAGATATTGCGCTATTTGCAGATGATTCAAAGGTGTCTCAGATAATTGGGAGTTCCAATGACGATATTAACCTCCAATGCAACTTAAATCGATTACATTCCTGGAGCATTGAATGGTACATGGATTTCAATGTTACAAAATGTAAAACAATGCGAATTACGAGAAAGAAAACTCCCAGGTTGGAAACTGATTATACCATTGATAACAACTGGCTAGAAAGAGTAACCTACATCCGAGATCTTGGAATCAACGTCACCAGTGATCTAAAGTGGGCTACTCATATTTCCGAAATAACTTCAAAGGCAAATAGGACACTTGGACTAGTGAAGAGAACATGTGTGGATCTAAAGGACTTAAAGACCAGAAGGTTACTTTACTGTACATTAGTTCGCCCACTATTAGAGTATGGAAGTGAATTATGGTCTCCCTATGAAAAAAAATACATTGCACTAATTGAAAATGTCCAACGTAGAGCCACCAAATTTATACTAAACTATCCAAAGGACACTGATTACAAAAGTAGAATGATTATGCTCGATCTCCTTCCACTTGAGTCTCGTCGGCAAATGAAGGACTTAATATTTCTCTTTAAACTCAAGAATGGGTTATATAGTCTTGACTTTGAGGAATATGCCGAGAATGTTCAGATGAAGCCTCAATCTGGTTATAATTTAAGAAATTCTCATCAAGATAATTTTTCTGAATTTAGGTATAGAACAAACTATTTTGGTTATTCATATTTTCCTAGAGCTATACGCTCATGGAACAGTCTACCTCCTACTTTAAAAACTATTGCAAGAATAAGTACTTTTAAAACTGCAGTAAAGGAACTCTACTCTTTGAGATTGGTAGATAGTAGTGACTTTTAACTTAGCTGAAATTATATAGTATTGACAATGTAGTGTTGTATTTAATTAATGGCATGTTATGTATGTATGTATAGTTAAATGGTAGCTGTAATCAATTGGGACTATGTCCTGTGCGGCCACCTTTTGCCAATGTAAATATTTTATTTTTTGCAAAAAAGTGATTAAAAAAAAGATTTTCCCTAGATATTTCATCAACCTTATACCCTAGGATCAATCTGGCGGCCTTGTTCTGAAGTTTTTGTAAATTATTAATCGACTCTTGATTTTGCGCAGATCCCCAAACCGTACAACAATAGTTCAATTTTGACAGTATGAGTGCCTCAGCGATAATCTTTAAAACTTTTGATGGAATATATCTGCTGAACTTGAACAGTAAGCCAAGAGCTTTGGAACAATCTTTAAGTAGATCTTCACAATGCTGCTTCCAACTTAAGTTCTCGTCAACCTGGACGCCAAGGAGTTTTACACATGGAAGTTGTTCAATGATTTTATCTTTAATGGATAAGTTAAGCGATGGAGCTGATTTAATCTTCTGCCGACTTCCAATAAGGACACTATTTGTTTTATCAGCATTAAGAACAAGACGATTCTTCGAGACCCATAATTCAACTTTAGATAAGTCAAGTTGAAGTTTATCTGATATGAGTCTGGCGTTATGTCCAGATTGGAACGGAGTGCTATCATCGGCGTACAAGGTGATATCAGCTGTAGTTAAGACTGTTGGTAAATCATTAACAAACAAACTGAAGAGCAGTGGGCCAAGACAACTACCCTGTGGCACCCCACAAGTCATCTCGATCGGATTAGAAAAAGCACCATTGATATATACGGTTGAGGTTCTCCCACTTAAATACGACTTGATCCAGTTAATTGCATTATCTGAAAAGTTATAACATTTCAATTTCAGAAGCAGCAAATTATGATCAATCAGGTCGAAAGCAACTGAAAAGTCCAACAAAGCAGCACCAGTAAGCATACCATTCTCCATGTTGTCAAGGCAACTGTCAGTCAGATGTAAAAGTGCTGATTCAGTGCTATGATTGATTCTATATGCATGTTGATTCTTGGGCATTAAGTTATGTTCGGAGACATAGTGACAGATTTGTTTATGCGCAAATTTTTCGTGCAGTTTACTTAATACATTTAGAAGACTGATGGGTCGACTATTTATATCTTCAAAAGGCTGTTTCTTATCTTTGGGAATCGGGTGTAGTTTAGCTACTTTCCATTGATCAGGAAATATTGACTTCGTATATGAACAGTTAAAAATGTATCTAATAGGTTCCGCTATGATATTCGACGCAATTCTAAGTAAAAAATTATCAATGCCGTCTACGCCTGTTACTTTAGTATCTGGAAGCTTAGCAAGGCAGCTGTGAACTTCTAAAAGACTTAAAGATGTGAACTCAAACCGACAGTTTTTTCCAGTCATTATTTCGGTAATTGATTTAGTTATATACTCCGTATCTATCGGGTTGGACATCTCAAATCTATATTTCTTTATTTTTTCATTAAAGAACTTTGCGAAATGATTGGCAATATCTTTAGGTTTTGTGTAAATTTCACCATTACTCTCTGCATAAGTTGGTATTGGACAATTTGAGCGTCCTAACAGATTGTTTATTGTTTTCCACATTGACTTTGGATCTTTTTTGGTATTATTAATAGCTTCAAGAAAATATGCTCTTTTGCTTTGAGAAAATAGCTTCAAGAAAATATGCTCTTTTGCTCTTTTGCTTTAGACTTCGCTTTCCCTTTCCCGGGTGTAAATGGCCGGGTGGAATTAGGTTCTTCGCCCCGGGCTAACGCCTGGAACGGCGCTCCGTGTCGTTGGCTCGGGGATTAATTAAAGCACATGCATTTTTCCGACCCATGCTACTAACTTACCGACGGAGGGCTTCGCTCGAAATGTCGAAGTTTTACGTGTATGTTTCAGGTCGTTGAATCCCTATGCATCTCAATTTTCTGATTTAGTTAATAGCATTGTTTTCATACGTCTGTATCGTTTGCGCTTGGATTGATGCATTTTGAATGCTTTAGTTAGACATGCTTACGCCTTCGAGAAAGGGTAATATTTAACCGAATCCCCACACTCTGGGTCTATAAATGTTCAATACTATAAATTATTGTTATTCAGCCAAAGCTTCCAAATTGTAATGCAAACTTATAAATCACTAGCAAAAGCTATCTGATGTGATTATTCAATGACTTCTTGCATTATTTTAGGCACAGAGGGTATATTGTAATGCGACACACTACTGCCCAGATGGCAACACATGCTGTATATCGGTGAGTGGGGAATGGGCATGTTGTCCTCTACCAATTGCGGTTTGTTGTTCAGATCGTATTCATTGTTGCCCGAATGGCTACACCTGTACATCAACATCATGTCAAAAAGGATCCCATGTAACTGAGTTCTTCAAGAAGGAACCCACGATTCAGGTGCGTAATTGGCTGATTATATTATTGCAGTTGCATGCCCTTTATATTTATTTGTGTCTTTGTTTACATTTTCCATGTTGGGTCGCCGAACGCATAAACATCGATCTTGAAATAAGATGTCAAAATAGACGATGATTTAACAAAGTGCCTATATGATACGCTGATCATTTTGAGATTTAATGTCGAAAATAATTTAATTTTAAATTGGTGCATTGAGAGAAATATCTGGCCTTAAAACATCCTGCAGGTTACCTAGAGATAACAAAACAGTTCAAAGATTAGTACTTTTAGCTGTAATACAACAATTAAACAGGATAATTTAGGAAATTTACAGCTTCTTTGAAAAGGAAAGCAATGCATGTTTTACCCGAGAAATTAAAGTAAGTAAAATTCATAAACATTAATTTAAACATTCAAAGCAAACTTGTGTTGTATTTCACGATTTCCAACAGGAAATCTTTTATTCTCATTTGCTCAAACAAAAATTGCTTCAAAGCTCATTGCATGAAACAATTTTCCAAATATATGTTTTTGAAAATTGAAATTTTGTTTATACCATTCCAGGCAAATAGCCATATTTTTGCAACAAAATTGATAACCGTTAAATTAAGCATACAAAGCAAACTTGGCTGTATTTCACCATTTTCCATCGAAAATCAATTCTTCTCGTTCTCTCAAACAAAAATTGCTTGAAAGCTCATTGCATGGAACGATTTTCGCTTATCCCACTCCAGGCAAATAGCCATATTTTTGAGATCAGAGAGGGCCACCCATAAACCATAATTACGCGCCCGCGATTATTGTAAATGAACTTTAGACTTCGCTTTCCTTTTCCCGGGTGTAAATGGCCGGGTGGAATTAGGTTCTTCTCCCCGGGCTAACGCCCGGAACGGCGCTCCGTGTCGTTAGCTCGGGGATTAAAGCACATGCATTTTTCCGACCCATGCTACTAACTTACCGACGGAGGGCTTCGCTCGAAATGTCGAAGTTTTACGTGTATGTTTCAGGTCGTTGAATCCCTATGCATCTCAATTTTCTGAGTTATTTAATAGCATTGTTTTCATACGTCTGTATCGTTTGCGCTCGGATTGATGCATTTTGAATGCTTTAGTTAGACATGCTTACGCCTTCGAGAAAGGGTAATATTTAACCGAATCCCCACACTCTGGGTCTATAAATGTTCAATACTATAAATTATTGTTATTCAGCCAAAGCTTCCAAATTGTAATGCAAACTTATAAATCACTAGCAAAAGCTATCTGATATGATTATTCAATGACTTCTTGCATTATTTTAGGAACAGAGGGTATATTGTAATGCGACACACTACTGCCAAGATGGCAACACATGTTGTAGATCGGTGAGTGGGGAATGGGCATGTTGTCCTCTACCAAATGCGGTTTGTTGTTCAGATCGTATTCATTGTTGCCCGAATGGCTACACCTGTACATCAACATCATGTCAGAAAAGATCCCATGTAACTGAGTTCTTCAAGGAGGAACCCGCCATACAGGTGTGTAATTGCCTGATTATATTATTGCAGTTGCATGCCCTTTAATTTATACTTATTTGTGTCTTTGTTTACATTTTCCATGTTGGGTCGCCGAACGCATAAACATCGATCTTCAAATAAGACGTCAAAATAGACGATGATTTAATAAAGTGCCTATTGGATACGTTGATCATTTTGAGATTTTATGTCGAAAATAATTTCATTTTAAATTGGTGCAATCCAAGAAATGTCTGGCGTTAAAACATCCTGCAGGTTACCTAGAGATAACAAAACAGTTGAGAGATTAGTACTTTTAGCTGATAAACATATACGCCGGCCCCCAGAACAGGGCACAGATAATTGGAAACAGTTTAAAGTCTTCAAATCACACGAAGAACGCTAATAATTGAACACTGTTTTGAGCGTCGTTCTTTGCTTATATACACCTGATCGCTGAAAAGTTTGTGTCAATTGCTGAAAAGAATTTAGAGTTATTCAAGTTCTAGCAGTTTTTTGACCAATTTAGTACTTTTTCGACCGACTTCTGGCAGAGGTTTGACTTTGTGCTTTTTTCGCCTGCGCGTCTTCCACACAGCGGTTCATACGGTAAGAGTCATGTAAAGCACCATGTAAAGCTCATTGAAACCCCTGCGGAGGAGCGAGACCAGCGTGTAAAGAAATGAAAGGGTTGAAATTTGTTTAGTTGGACCAAATCGTCGGGCTGGCTACTCCACTGGCGGGGTCAGGAAATGAGCTTTTATACTAGTGAATATAAAAGCGATCATGTGACAAAAACTAAACCAGTCAGGTGGATTTAGTCGGCAAACAAAGTTTAACAAAAAAATATTAATTGGATTACAGAATATATTAATGGTGACTTACGTTTAATTAGCGTTAAAACTACTAAATATATCATGAAAAATTGTATAATCCTATTAGCACTAACCAATCGAAAAGACAGTTTCAAATTTCTTTGTCTGATAGACCAATCAGGTGAAATGCCGTGTTTTGACTTTTTTACATGCCGCCATACAGGGATTTGTGTTAGGCACTTCGAAAGGGAAATATGGTCTGATACTTAGGCTTAAATTCAGTAAAAATAAAATTTCTCCACCAACATAAGCAACGCTTCCAATTTCGTCAGCACAAACATAACAAAAGCTTTAAAACTGTTAAAATTGCAAACCATGCTTAATATTTGAGACTGGTCAACCTTAAATACTAATAATTACCACAAATAATTTTGACAATCCCCCTTTTCATGCTGAAAACACTTTAAAGCCCTCCCCCTCTTACCATAAATTGTTTTGGCAACCCCCCTAATTTTCCTCCAGCCCCCCCCCTGGTTCTTAATTAATGAACGGTCCCTAAAAACACAGCAGGCACAAACAACAGTACAACACGAAGTTACAATAGGAAGTTACGAACTAGAATTGGGCGATACTTAAAAATCATATCGTGATTATCGGCTGGAAATTATCACGATATTCGATACTTAAGCAAATTTTTGAACGAGCAACTGAACAAATGAGAAACTAGTTGGTTAATAGTTAATTAGTAGAAATTAGTTGGTTAGTCATGGAGAGCAAATGTAATTTTATTGCTTTTTTCGTTTATTGCGTATTTCCCTTTGATATTTACTAATGCAGCAAATTTGAATTTACTGTTCAATTTTAGGCAAAACAAACATTGAAGAACAAATAAATCAACGGTTCAACGGCAACTTAATGGATTGATTTTTGAAACTATATTAATATTAGAGATACGTAGACTCGTAGTGTGAACATATAGATTGTTATTGGCAAATGTTAGTATAATTATACTTTTTATGGTAAAATGTTCAAATGACCAAATTTTATACACATGATTATATGTTATACGTAGATAGAAATAAAGAAATGATTGCCTCATGATTTTCAAATTTGTTCAGTTGTATACATATCTAAATGACGCGGACGTAGATAATTTATCATACATAATGTAAAAATTAAGTATAGACATTATCTGCACCAGGTTTTACTTTTGTAGTTGCAGTTTTCTTTTGTTGCTTTTCTTTCTTATATGAATGAAGCTCGCGAGCTTCATTTATGCATAGACAATCCAGAAGACAGATGTCTTCTGGATTGTCTATGATTTATGAAAGCGACTTGAAAAAATATAATAGTAGTCCATTCATGCACGTCCTAAACTGAAAGTTGAGTTTTGGACAAAAATGCATGGGGCCTTTAATTTTGTAGAAAATTGAGAAAGTTGTAGCTATAAAATGACAAAACAAAGCAGCTAAACGAGAACGGTTCGCAGAAGCTCGTGTATATTCTGTATGGATAACAGAATCTCTAGTGAGTTCTCGAAGACCTTTAATAATGTCTCGTTCGTAGGGACTTGTGTTATCTTAATGAGATTTGAAAAATCTAGTCGTGCATGATTTTTATCCAAATTGCACTCGAAACAATCCTGAAGGATTCTTATTGTCCTGATAGAACTATATCGCATGCCTGCGCTTTGTAATCTTTTTTATGGGACCTGTCACATTTTCACGAGTTTTTGTGTCACTTTTCTAGTTGACTTGACATCAAAATCCTGGTCAAAAATACTCGGCACGCTTCCCAAAATTAAATATATATTAGTAGGTGGGGGTGGGTTTGGATCACGTTTCACCTGAAGCAAACAGCCATTTCGGATCTAAAATGAACCATTATCATGAAAGTTAAAAAGCATGTTTTTTACTATGGATGTATTTTATTTTTAATTAATTTAAGATACAAAATAAAATAACACGGTTAAAAATATGCCTTTTGTTAATCCGTTAGCCTATTTTTACGTTTTTGTGAATAATTTGACTACCGAAAACTCAATATTGAATGAAGATCCCTTTATTATCTCATACCTAGCGTATTAGCGGCTTTCCTATTGGCTACGAGGAGGTGCGTTCAATCTCTTATCCTATACCTGTGTTAAAAGCAGCTTTCTGATTGGTTTAGAGCAGGTGAGCTTGTCGTCGAGCTCACCTGCTTTTTGCCCGAACTCACCTGCTTTTCGCCGAACTCACCCGCGACACTGCTCACGTTGCAATAACAATAACAATGGCCGACAATATTTAGCCGATAAACCTAAACTTTAAATTAAATAACTTTTTACGGTGACTAACCAACTGAGACTGAAGAAAAACCAAAGAAAATAATGCAATAAAGGTAATCTAGACGTAGATAAAAAAGTATTAAGAGCCCAGTGATTTTTTGGCCGGGAAAATGTTGACAAAGCGTCGACGAATATATCCCGAAGAGCTACAAATATGTGTATGGCTCGGTGTATGGGAGAAAAACCAAACATACTTGCAGGGAGGCGAGTCCGGGATTGGACGCACCTCGGGTGGCTGGAAGTTTCCCGAACTCACCTCGCTTCGCTTGGTGAGTTCGAGAAACTTCCAGCCACCCACCCTGCGTCCAATCCCGGACTCACCTCCCTGCAAGTATGTTTGTTATAGAACCCACCTGCTGACGTATGTTTATATAGGAGGTGGGTTCGAGATCGATGTTTCGGCGGCGGCTATTATGAAGCGATTTGAACAAATTTCAGACGAAGATTTAAGTAAAAAATTAATTAACTGTTTTTAGTTGTTTTATAATTATTATTTTTTTATTTGGTTTGATGAAAATGGAATATTCTGTATTCAAAGTGGAAGAGAAGAAAGATGGCCGCCGAAATTTGTTCGGTACGGGCAGGTTCACTTGGCAATGTTTTCGCAGAATGTGTGCATCTTATCTTTTCAAGAATAAGGGAATATTGCAGAGAATACTTTTAACTTCAATTTAAGCCTAAGTTTGTTTGTTCGCGTAGTATGTTGGCGGCTAGACTGTTCGTTATACAAAAAAGAAATTATATACTAAGTCTAAAATGCGTAAATTCTTCAGTACTTTTTACCGAAATGGCATGTGATAAAAACCAAACATACTTGCTGGTTCGGTGAGTCCGGGATTGGACGCACCTCGAGTGGCTGGAAGTTTCCCGAACCCACCTCGTTTCGCTCGGTGAGTTCGGGAAACTTTGAGCCACCCAATTGGTGCGTCCAATCCTGGACTCACCTTCCTGCAAGTATATTTGTTATAAAACCAACAGATATTAATAGTAAAAATCAAGAAAATATATGGATACAGAAGTAAAGTGGTTACATCCAAAGGAATGCTCCTCTTCACATCGCATTTCTCACTGCTTGTCCAGTCTTTGTTCTATACCAGTTTCAAATATATTCTCGTCTCCGGCTGGGCATGTAAATCACACAAAAACTTTATGAAAACAAATACTGCACTTCACGGTTCACAGAAATACCCTTTACCACCCTCTATAGTTACACGAGCGAATTTGTTAATCCATTTCTGCCATATCATACCGGCTACATATTGGCAAACATTTCCAGTATTGAATAGAACATGTACAAGGAAAAATATTGAATATATATAGACACAAAGAGGTGGACCATTTTAGTTTTGACGGGGGGAAGCAGGGATATTTTAATTGATTTTGTTGTTCAAGGCTCTTATTGGCTCTGGTTGTTAGGACATGCAATATTTTAATTCTATTTCGTGTGCACGGTCATAGAGCTATAAATGTCCGAGATGTAACTTTCTAGCCAATCTAGCGATGGCTTTCCCGAATTTAATATTTAACTTAATACTAATAAGAGTACACTTGAGAAACATGAAGAATCTAAATAGGCCTACAAAAAAACCGACCAAGAACATCAGGTTCGTATCCTATTTCAACTAGTCCCCGACCCAACGGCACGAAGCGCCGTGCGAGGGTAGTAATTCCCCCCGGCTATTTACACCCGGGGAAACGAAAGCATTAGCGAAGTCTAAAGTTCACCACTGATCGCGGGCGTGGCTCACTGTGCGTGGGTGGTCATCCTCACTGATCTCAAAAATATGGCGGACTGTCATGAATAACGAACACTGTGATTGGTCCAATCTAAAGTTTGCATTATAACGACTGCATGACGAGAGCGAAATAGCAAACATTTCTTGATTTGATGATTGATACATTTCTTGCAAATATATTTCATTTTTGCTCGCATTTTTGCAAGATTTTGTAAATTTCCAGAAAGGAAGGGCGAAAGAATCGGCTAAAAGAAGGGAGTCAACGTTAACGAAGGTTATATTGATTGTATAAATATTGATTGTATAATTGCTTTATAACCCGACGGCCTTTGCGTATATGAAACAACTAAACAAGACAGCATATAATTTCAGTGTATCTTTAATATTGATTCCCTTTTTTATTACATTGAATTTTTTAAATAAAAAAGAAAGCAAATTTATTTGCATGCGAGAATTTGAAATCATTTTATTGCAAACTCAAAGTTTATCAATAAAGCCATTTAATTAAAGGCAGTTTGGTCTCGAGTTTAGTTTTATAAAGAACACTTTATTAAAAACGTTTTGCGAAGCGTTTGAGGTTGAATTTTACCTTAAATTGAAGCTTAATAAATATTACGTATAATATCATACCTAACATACATATGTTGGGAAATTGATAATTTTGTAATTAAAAGTGATATTTTTCGGCAATTTTTCATTTGTAAGAATATTCTTAAAAAATAATCGTGTTACCATGACAACTACTTTAGATACTTCATGTTCGGAAAATACAATGGTTTTGACAGCAAGACGAGGGTTTCTGCATGCATGTATTTTGTCCTTGTTTGGCAATCATTTTATTAACATGAAATGAAATTAGTGAATACCTTTATATTTTCCCTCTGATATTTTCGTGCAATGAAATCTATAACACATAACAGTCACAGTGTCAATCATATTGTATGATTGTATCTAAAAATAACATGTGGGCGTCTCACGGTTTAGATACGTTTTGTGTCAGGCCCTATTTCAAATTAGGGCCTGAACTTCAGGTTACCATTTCCATGACTAGTGACTACCACTGAGCTATACTATATTACTGGAGGACCTGCTCGGGGGAAAAAAGTGAAGCCAAAAACATGGCGGATCTTACGCCATTGCCATGACTGCTGGTCCCTAGATTCATGGCAACTACCACTGTCCCAACCGCGGTCCTAAGATTTCGACGATGTACTTCACCCCCCTGGTTTCAGCACAGATATTTTATGATTTCGCTTGTTTTTGAGGTAAAAATCGCACTGAAAATCTTGATATTTTTCTCCTATAACTTGGTTGATTTACAACGTCGAGGATCCTGCCTTTTTGCGCCGCTCGTAGAGATTAATGTCCAATACCCATGCAAGATGTCCGATGGAAAAATCAAAAGGCCATTGGACATTCCATTTGTCAAATGGACCTGGAAATGTCCATTGTAGTTTTGTGTGTCCATTGGATCCAATGGACAAGTGGAATTTCCATCGGACATTTGCTTTTTCAGTTGGTCAATTACCATGTATTTGAGTGACGTAATGACAAGCACATGGACGTCATGTAGATACAAGGCCAGTGAGATAGCCAAACGAAAGTTTTCATTGGACCCAATGGATCCAATGGACCTGGAAATGTCCATTGGAGTTTTGTGTGTCCATTGGATCCAATGGACAAGTGGAATTTCCATCGGACATTTGCTTTTTCAGTTGGTCAATTACTATGTATTTGAGTGACGTAATGACAAGCACATGGACATCATGTAGATACAAGGCCAGTGAGATAGCCAAACGAAAGTGTTCATTGGATCCAATGGATCCAATG